CTCTTTCCCAGAATGAGTGCCACCTCCACTGAAATGACAAGAAAAGCAGAAAATGTAAACTTCTGGTCTGAATATGCCTGCAGTTACCTGTTTGTTTAATGTCTCTTGAACATTATCTAGACACATGCCTGATATTTTACGGTACCAAATTCCAATATGTTAATTTCACTTTGAATAACGAGTGATAGAAGGAGAGCGGGAATAATTCCTCAGAAATCACTATTTGAGCGTTACTGAGAGTAATAAGAAACAACTGATGATAAGAAAGAAAATGATAAATGAGTAGGGAAATAAAAAATAGAAGTAACCACAAAAAGAAAATGTCTTATTCATCAGTAATCATAGCAATGAAAATGGGTTATTACAGTAGCTAAAGGAAATCTTCACCAGTAAGTTATTCTATACTTACTCCAGTCCATGTGACACAAAACCTCATTAACTTCTCTGAGGAAGGTGTGGCTCAATATTAATAAACATTCCGAAAACACGCTTTCTAGTGATAAACGGTGCTTTTCATAATCTCTTTGCAGGGGCACATTTGGAAGCAAAACTGAATCATGGTGACTACCACTTTCTCTGAAATCCCCAATACCACGTTGTAACATATGGATCACAAGCAATGTCAATACGATCAAATAAACAAACCAACCCCCGCCCCGCAAATATCCCATTTCCAAACATTTTCTCAATATATATTTACAGGCTGCACGTTAGAAGTGTAATTTCTTTTCTAAACATTTGCTGCCCCCATGTGTCCCTTTAGAAAACTGAGTCTTAAACCTAAATCATGTTTATTTAGCCCTTCCTATGCAGTTTAGATAGACAGAACTACAACAGAGAAACTCTAATTATTGTAAGAATGAGCACTAAATGTAGGGCAGGAGAAAAGGTCTTACTTTTGCCATAGACTCCTGATGTAATCTCCAGTAATTATGTAACTTCTCTGTGCCCCAGTCTCTTCTAATATTAAAATGGGTGGCAGGTTGGCAGGATGCGGGGAGTGTAGGAGCCAGATTTTCTCTAAGTTCCTCTCTAATCTAATATTTGGTCATTCTCATTGAGGATAATAAAACAGAAGTAGGAAAAACTAGCTATCCCATTTCTGGCTAAGCAGCCACTTTGGAGGTATGCCCAATACTCATGAATGAATTTCCTGTTTCATCATTGAAATGCATTACCTTGGTCCTCTGTCATCTTGACAGACCTGCTTCTCGGTGTCTGAGTCGCTCTGAGCCCAAGAAACAGGAAGGAATTCATTTTCTCTTATGGCCAATGATTATGCCGTAGACTGATGTGACTTCAAAAATGAAAATCATCTTCAGTGTTTATAATATTGTATCAGTGAGAGGTACTTCTAAGGCTCTGACTAGTTCTTAAATCTTGTCCATAATACCACGATCAACCTGGCAAAGCCATTCTCTCCTTACTTCCTTGTTAACAGAACCCCAGTTTTGTTCAGTTATCAGACAACCCAAACATGTCTCAAGAAGGGAAGCTGGTCCCTCCCTTACCCAAGGGGATGAATCTTGATTCATCTAAGAGTTAGACTATTCACTGCTTCTCACCCCGCACTATTTTCTTTTATTCAGGAGTTTTTGTTTTATTATTACTATTTTTTAAATTATTATTGAGGTATAATCGACATACAATATTATATTCGTTTCAGGTGTACAACATAATGATTTGATATTTGTCTATATTGTGAAGTGATCATCATAATAAGTTTAGTTAACACCCATCACCATGCACAGTTACACATTTTTTTTCTTGTGATGAGAACTTTGAAGATCTTCGCTCTTAGCAACTTTCAAATATGCAGCTCAGTGTTATTAGCTCTAGTCGCCATATTGTGCATTACATCCCCAGGGCTTATTCATTTTATAACTGGAATTTTGTCCCTTCTGACCCCCTCCACCCGTTTTGCTCACCCCCAGCTCCCACTCTGGAAACCACCTATCTGTTCTCTGTATCTGTGAGCTCTTTGTTTGTTTGTTTGTTTGTTTCTTAGTTTTTTAGATTCCACTTGTAAGTGAGATCATAGAGTAGTTGTCTTTCTTTGTCTGATTACACTTAGCATAATGCCCTCAAGGTCCATCCATGTTGTTGCAAATGGAAGGATTTCCTTTTTTATGGATGAATAATATTGTATTTATAATAATACATGAATAAATAAATGAATAATATCTATTTATATATATCTCACATTTGCTTTATCCTTTCATCAAGTGATGGACACTTAGGTCATTTCCATATCTTGGCTATTATAAATAATGCTGTAATGAATATGAGGGTGCATATATCTTTTCAAGTTAGTGTTTTAGATTTCTTTGAATAAATACCCAGAAAAGGAATTACTGGATCATATGGTAGTTATATTTTTAATTTTTTGAGGGACCTTCAGACTGTTTTCCATAGCGGCTGCACCAATTTATATTCCCACCAACAAGGCACAAAGGCTCCCTTTTCTCCACATCCTCACCAACATGTGTTATTTTTTCTCTTTTTGATAGTAGCCATTCTAACAGGTGTGATCACCCCTCTGTTCATCAGAATCTTCTGGAGAGCTCTTTGAAAATACTGATGCCCAGGCCCACCTCCAGAGATTCTCATTAATTGGTCTAGAGTTTGACAGTTTTTGAAAACTCTCCAAGTGATGCTAGTGTGCAGCCTGGGTTGAGAATCACTTATTTAAGCCAGCTATGATCAGTCTACTTCTTTCTTTGGTGATTGGTTTAGGAATGAGCACGTGATGCAATTTTCGGTCTTATAAGGAACAATCCGATTGGGGGTGGGGTGTTTGGGATAGTTTTCTTCACTCTTAGAAAGGAACAGAAAATAAGGTTATGCCCTTAACTTCTCTTCTAGGTTTTGGGTGTCACCCTGGGGGATATGAGGGATGTGACATCTGGAGCTGCTGAAGCCACCTTGTAACCATGAAGGAAGCTACCACAAGTAAGGTATAGCAGAATGGAAAGAAGGAAAGAATTCTAAGTCTTTAATTGTTTTTTTTTTAAGCTGCTAAATTAACTGACTGTGTAGCATCCTACCTCAGAACTTATTTGAGCATGTGAGTAAAAGACATTTTGTTTAGTTGAACCCTAATCATCTTAACCGATACACTGATAGTTATGAAAAAAGTAGGCACACATATCTTAAACTGGGTTCTTCAAACCATGTCCTTGGAACCTGCGAGATCCCATGGATTTTTGCTAGTATTCTACAGGGACATTTTGTAAGTAGGATTTTGTACGGATGTGTATACGTTTACATGGTAAAATGTGTGAGAATATAATTTCAGAACATTATTTCTTTCACTTTAATCTTCAAGCTAAAGCAGTTTGTTTGTTTGTAAATATCAAACAAGGACTGGGGCAGAGATAACCAACAAGTGGGAAATTTCTTATTTGACCTGAGTAAAATTAAACCTAAAAAGAAAGAGTTTTTTCTTACAACTCATACAAACTGAATTCCCAAACTGTCCTAATATGTACAATTGTTATATATATTTTTTACTACCAGTATCTTCTGTGTGATTTTTAGTGATATAAACTTTATTACCACTTGCCTTGAACATAAAATCATTAAGGTTCTACTATCAAGTCAAAGTTTTTTGACTGTTTCTTAAGAACTGTTTAGCTTTAGTGGTCGAAATGCTCAAAAACTGTACTAAGATCTGTTTTTCTTTTAAAGAGGTGCTTTTGAGGCCTTCTTTTGCACTTTAGCTTTTGTTATCATTTTCATCATTAGTGTACGCATTACCACTTGATGTACTGTGAAACCCTTTTAACTCTTTTCCTTTGTATCTTATTCTTTGCACACATGAAACATTAATGCAATAGTTATGCATTTAATGCACAGGATTCTGAGTCATACTCAGATTTATGAACTCTACTTTGAATATCATATATTAGTGCTAGAATATTAACATGCTAGCACACTATGCCTGATAAAACAACTTGTATCCCTAGTTGCTTGGAGGAACTTGAGTCTACCATTCTTTTTAGTACCACATGTGTCTTGCTATGCGAATTATATGCATTTGTACCCTCACTTATGTGGATATATATATATATATATATATATATATATATATATATATATATATAT